GTATACGGTGAAGGAGTCTACAAACACAGACGTACATCGTCTGCTGATATAAGGTATTTCATTGCATTTTAACAAGTAATCTGAATGGCCTATATATGTGCAATATTTTAACCGAACCCTCACTAACTGAGTTTAATGCCACAGTTATGTTAGAACGCATCTCATCCTTGTTTCTGTGGCAGTGCGTCGGGCTTGTCATGGGGCGCGCGGTCCGGAGCGCTGTATGACTGATGGATCTGATGAATTTAACTTTACTCCAAATATATGAACTTAAATGTTTTAAATACTTTTATATTTAACGTGTTCGTTTATGTCCAATATTTAGTGTTAAACTGTTAGTCTTTAAAATAAACCTACTTTTGATTTTCACCGTTGACAGCAGACCTTTTAGACTGATAACTTCCGTGCTCTGATGCGGCAAACTTGTTACAGGACTTGCGGTCCTAATAGCAATGTATGACTGTTGTATCCGAATATAAATGAAATCGCTGTTTTAAATATTTTTATAATTAACATGTTTGTTTATCAATAGCCTATATTTGAAAGTATATTTTTTTTCGATTATTGGTGCTTTCATAGGCCCTCTCTCGCGCGCCCGCACGGTTTAAAACACCACATAGTTATGAAATAGCCTATGATAACTACAGCGTCTCTCTTGCCCCCACCCACCCATGCACGCACGCACGCACGATAATATCGTGTATCGGCGATCTCACGGGCTGGCGATATGACGATTTGAAAAATGACCATATCACCCAACACTAAATTGAGCTACAATTTGTCTAACTGTTCACCTGCTTAGATGAAGACTGACCTTATAATATATAAATGTAAACTTAATTCTGGCCCTCACTGCAGCCTATTCTGGCCAAGAACCACCAGATTATGAATGAATGAATGAATGAATGAATGAGTGAATGAATGAATGAATGATGCATTTATATAATAAATATATTTTATTATCTTTACAATCTTTACAATCATGTGTGTGTGTGGGGGGGTCAAACCAGTCAAATGGTCACATGACTTTTTGACCATTTGAGTGACTTGTAAAGCCAGCCAGTCATATGGGAAATATTGATTTGAGCCAGCTCTTACTATTTCTGCTTGCAATATGCATCAGATGGTCAATAAACAGACTTCGGTGGTCCATAGGTTTGCCCTCCAGTTGAATAGTAACGAGCATAATACTGTGTAAGGAAGATATGTGGCTTTCCTGCAGGGATGAAAACACATGAGAAGTGAGAAAGTTGCAACTGTCACAAGTATTCTGGGTAAGAATTATTCATGCAGATTTTTAAAGTACAGGGCCTAAAATTAACACTCGCCAAGCGCCAAATGCGAGTAAAAATCAGTGTTGGCGAGTCCATGTAACAATGTCAGTCGCCATTTGGCGGGTACAACTTTTACAAATTATAACAATGCAATGAAGTGAAATCAACAGACAGCTTTTAAAGAGATTCGCTGTTTCTGACATAAGCAAATAAAATAATATTTTCCGAAGACCAGACGATTAGCTGTTCTGTCATAAGCAACAAGAGCGAATCAAATAATAGGATACAAACGGACTGATAAGGTCAGAGCAGTGTGATGCCTGCTTGTCCCTAGACACGGTTCTAATAACTTTTACCTGAAAAGATTGTGCTGCGGAAGATTAACTTTTCCCTTCTTTATTCTTTATAACACGAGAATGCGGCGACACATGCCTGGGGTTACGCCACCTAAACGGTGCAGTGAAGTATAGTTTGAAAGGCTGCGCGTTCGGCTGTACACATACGCTGAGCCGCTTCAGACAGCTCACCAGTAGCGCTTCAACGCACGGAAAAATCACACAATTATGTCAAAATGCGAAGTTTTGGAAGAGTCTTAAATGAGTTATAAATGACTGTAAAGAGTTGGGAGAAAACCGGATAGGTGTCAGATCCGCGTCATATGCATCAGGTTTTAAAGAGACAGCACTGATTTTAAAGTGAAATCTGCTGAAGTCTGTCATTGATGTTTATCAATGAACAAAAGAAAAAAAGAAATCCTTGGAATAGTCGCTGATTAACTTTTATATCTTGAATAAAGATTAATATGTATAGTTTATGCATATATAATATAGTTTATGTGAAGATAAAAGTTATTTCAGAGCCTATTAAATGTAAAAAAATAATGGCTTTCAATTATACTGTAATGTTGAATGGCTATAATTAATAGGGACAATTTAGGGAAAATGCACCAGCAGGACAAATTAAAAAACACTGTAAATATGTTTAGTTATTGTAGTAGTAATAACTGCCTGTTTTTGCAAAAAGAGTTTCATGGCCGGTAAAAAAAATTTTTGGCCGGTAAATTTTATCATGTCACCGGCCATTGGCAGGTCTGGCAAAAAGTTAGTTTTAGGCCCTGAGTACAAGGCTTTTTCAAGTCAATTTAATGATTAAAATGTAGGTAATTTAAGCTTTACAATTTAGCCAAACTCACTTCAGAAAATGGCACCTTGCTATTCCACCAACTAAAAACTAAGTAGGTCCATGAATAAAATAGCTTAACAAACATTATTAAGCACAATTTTTGATACTGTAATCTTATGTTTCTGTCACAAGATACATTGAAAAAAATTGTTGTGGTATTTACTTTGAAACAGTTTTCACTCAGAAACTGCTAGTCAATTTTACAATATTTACAAAGGAACTGCAAGTAACACATTGAATTAAATGTGAAACTTTGAAGTGGAAATAAATAGTATTTTTTTGTAAAATCTTTTTACATTTACAGCATTTACATTTACAACTTTGAAAAAAAAATTCACAGTATAGTACAAAGAAGTTGTTTATTTAAAAAACAAATTAGTTGTCATTATTATAGTGAAGAGCTCTGATTGAATTTTTTTTATATATATTCTACAGAAGAAAGAAAGTGATACAGGTTTGGAACGACATGAGTGTGAGTAAATATTAGTTTTTTGTTTTGCTTTGTTTTTTGTGGGGGGAACTATCCCTATAAGTGAACATGTATAGATCTGTAAACATCTACTTCTCATACTTCTCAAATGTATATAGGGAATACCAGAAAGGAACATATCTGACACAGTTCATGACTCTGGCTAAAGAACCTGCTGTATGAGCTCAGCTAGCAGTGTGATGATCACATGTTTGCTCATCATCACTGAGAAAGCATGTGAGAATTCCCATCAACCAGAGTGGCATCATTCTGTTAAGCAGTAGAATGGAGCTGCTCATATGCAGCAAAGTCTCTTCTGATAAAGACTAACTTAAACTTTTTTTTACTTTACCGTAACTTTTGCAATGGGGGTGTCATGAACGAGAGTAAGGTTCAAGAGAGGAAATACCGCAAAGGAAGGCAGAAAAGGAAACAAAAAAAAAGAAAGAAACCCAAATGAAGAAGTGGCATAAAATGGAAGATGAATAGGAAAAAAAGAAGAAGAAGAAGAAATGTGTCAAGTTTCAGGTTTTTTTTTTTTAGGCATTGCAGTAGATGGAGCTTGTAGTAAGTTTTCTCATCATAGAAGCTGAAGTGGAGCAATAGAGAGCTTATGAAACATTGATAACTCAGATATTTACTTGGAACCCCCCTCCCTCCCCCCCAAACAGAGAAGAGAAAAGGCACATCCCAAATCATAAATTATTAAGTCTCTACTTCTCACTGTGATCCTGACAGACATAACCTTCACTGTTTGCTGGGCTCTTACTTAAGTAGGTCAATTAATCCGAATATTTTACTATTATTATTGCTATCGTTTTGAAGGATTCAGCTTCCTTTACAGTAACTCTACCGTTAATAAATTGAATTAAGTTTATCATTTAATACATACACAAAGAGAAATACTGTGGCAGAAGTTGAATTACATCCTATATTATAAAATGAGGGTTATAAAATAATCAAGACATTTAGGAACATATTGTCGAATACAAAAACACACACTAAACGAGACCACACAGTCAGCTCATTCCAAAGAAATTTTGCCACTTCTCTCACCACTTACTACTGATATAATTTACATAAACAAATCACAGATACAGAACTACGTAACAATATTCAAATTATGATTTTTCATCTGAATATCAGCCAATTTCCTCATTTAATTTCCCCAATAATGCCATTCATCATTACTTTTTGATGGGTTATACAAAATAATAATAATAAAATAATCTTTTATTGTGGAAAAATATATTAAAATGATGTAAACTTCATTTTAAGGACCAATTCTCACTATTAACTAGCTGCTTATTAGCATGCATACAAGATCCCTTAATCCACCCCATACCTAAACTTAACAACTACCTTACTAACTATTAATAAGCAGCAAATTAGCAGTTTATTAAGGGAAAACTCTGAATTTATAGTGAATATGTGTTCCCTATTCTAAAGTGTAACCAATTTTTATTCAAAAATGCTTTTACATTTTATTTTATTAAGCTTAATATTTAAAAATTGTAAATAATAATAATAATAATAATAATAATAATAGTAATACATTTTTTAAATCATAGCAATCATTTTTGCCAACTTTTATTACAAAAAAGGTGAATAATGTGGTGTGGTGCCATTAAATTAGCTAGTTAATGTTGTTACTAGATATTTTGGAATTGACCTTCAAACTTGTAACATTTAACCCCAATATTACTGATTCTTATTTAACACTTATTTATTAATGGTGAAAAACTGCCTAAAATCACTTAAAATGATTTATTCTATTAATTTAATATAGTCTTGGTTAAAGACAAAAGAAAATGTTGCATTTACTGATATTTTACTTAACTGGACTCTAAGCAGGCATATAAAAAGCAATGCTTTTGGCATTGTGCTAGCCTGATGTTTCATTTTGCCAGGGTTTCATACTGAAATCTTACAGTGGCTTATCCTGACGATTCCTAGCAACATTATCATCATAATAACAAGACAGTTAAGGAAATGATACACAGGGCAACTTTTTTGAGCAATGTTGCTTGGGCACTTTCCCATTGTGAATGGGCAAAACATTTCTATCTGGATACTTTAGATCGGTTGTGGACCCTGTGTCTTACCTAGTTGCCCGTTGACAGTAACATTGCCCAGCAACACTGCTCAAAAATGTGTCCCGTGTATCATAGGCTTTAGACACTTCAGAGATGGATTTAGGAGTTAGATTTGAATTGGTCCTTGTTTTCAAGTTTATTTAGTGCAACCAGTTTCTACGCCAGTTGAACCGAATTGGTAATATTGCATACAGCAGGGCCGTAATGGAGACATGATCATCACATAACAATGTCAAGCCATGGGCCCTCTATTGGAAGATCAGAAGCAGCGAACATTATAATCTCTTCATTAGTGTTAAATGAAGAATTATGGTTATGAGAACAGCTGCAAAAGAGGAAGTGATGTGCGCTCAGCTTATCTGAAATTATTACATCATAGAGAAGAGTGCAAGAGAGAGAGACCATCGTGACTGCAGTCAGAGGTCCAGATGGCTGTGAGGTTTAATCAATCTACCAGATTAACATGGGATGGAATAACTCCCTTGTTTTCCTTCACTCGTGGATTTGCCTGACCACTTCTGTTTCTCTATGAAACCACTTTAGCTCTAATGTTCTATGCAAGATCTTTTGTCCTGATTAAGAACAGCAGTCACTGTAATAAAATTGTATTAAATCGAATAGTAATAAAGATAGACCAAATAGGCCAGAGCAGTGGTTCCCCCAACACTGCACATTTTATATGTCTCCCTAGTCAAATACACCTTGTTCAACTCATCAGCTTATTAGTAGAGACTCCTGAAATGGGTGTGTTAAATAAGGGAGACCTCTAAAATGTGTACTGGGCTAGACTAAACTCCAAGTATAAGCAATAATTATTGTGATGCCTGCTTTGATACTAAGGCAGGGTTGGATCTGATCTCTGCGGGTAGGTAGATCTCCAGGAACAGGATTGGTCACCCCTGGTACAAAGTGTCTATCAATAGAGATTTCGCAATATTGTTTATTTTGTGGTGTGTAAATATATCCACTTAGCACAGTATTACTTAAAGTTATTGACATGCAAGAGTAATAAGACAAATGCAAGAAAATAAAGAGCGGGACGTGCTTGATGTTAAACAGAGTTATTAAGCGCAATAAGCAGTGAAAAAGAACCCAGTGCGGCGCTCTCACGCTGACTGACACAAAACCAAGGCATTCACACTTAACCTGTTGAGCGGTACGGTCCCACATATGGGATTTTTATTTCCGTGCCCCTGGGAGTACAGTCCCACATATGGGATTTAGAACGTTCGGTGACGTCACATAACTGCCAAATTCAAACTGCGTTTTCGCGCTTTGGCTGACGCCGAGATGCTGCTGCACTTGTCATATAATCACAACTATGCAGTGTTTTTAACCACATAATGTTTATTTTAGGTTTCAGACATTTAAATACATATAAGTACTAGTAAAACAATACATTTAAAGTTCGTAAAATACACACGGATGTTTATGGAAGCAGCAATAACAATCCATTCAAATATAATTTGCCTACGTGTTTTATTAATATCAGATACACATAGCGTAAGTAACTATAAAGTTCACTCTATTCTTCTCCGAGTTCACCGGCCACTTATTTGCATGTATTTTGGGTGAAATTGATGAATTCACATGCTGTAAATCTGACTTGACAGGACTCTCTGAACTGCAGCGCGAACAAACATGGCTGTGCCCATCTCACGTTACAGTTCACGATCAAGATCATTTAGAAAGGTTTTTAAACGACAAAACACACTCATTTACACATTTGTGAATCGGAATATCAGATTGTTCATGAAATGGTAAGCAAGTTTATGAATATTTTGAATAAAAAATGAAAAACAAAATAAAAGCGATCCATCTGTCATACAGTGTTATTGTGGCACGTGACAAGCATGACGCGTTGTCATGGAAACAGTAAGGGGAAACGTTCTAAAATAACGTTCGCCTAAAAAAAAAACTCACTCTGGAGTGACCACTAGAATATTTTAAACTCACCACTGAAAAGGTTAAACAGCATGCGATCCAAAATTCAGTTCTCTTTCACAGCTTATTAAGCTTAAATGGTTAAATACTCACGCTCAAAATGCCCAACATATGGAGCATTCACATAAACAGTTGGTTATTTCTTAAGTAAACATAAACAGTTGGGTAAAAATCAGATGTGTGGCAGTACATTGCATCCATAATTTGGACTTAAAGTGACAGCAGCCTAACAAACCTGCTGCTGTGATTGTCATTAATCAAATAACAAAAGACAGAGAAAATCACTCACTGCTCTCGAATTAATCACTTTTGTATTTTTTAATTCATATTTAATTCATACAGTAAAGAGTTAAAAACAGCCTTAAATTTAAGTTAATAATACACTACCAGTCACTCTGAAAAAGAAAATTTATTAAAAGTTTCTACAAACATTTTAAGAAGCACAACTGTTTTTAACACCGTTAATAATTAGAAATGTTTCCTGATGTGTCACATGTTCTTAAACTGTAATGCCTTTAAACAACGATGTGATTCCTTATCAGTACTGACTGGTAGAAATGAGCAGAACAGGTTTACATTGAAAGATAAATTCTCAGAATTAAAAGTGGGAAAGAACAGAGGAATTTGTGTATTTGTGATCTAAATTAACTGAGGAATGAGAAAGAAACTTGTACACCTAATCAGTATTATCATCTTATTTTCTAGTAAAATTATCAAATTGTAAGATATATTTACTTGAGAAGCTTAATGCCTTTATTGCTTAAAACAAGGAAAAATGGGATGGGGTCATTGGGGTTAAAAAAAAAATCTTAATTTAAGAAAAATTCTGTTTAAAAAAAACAAGCCTTACAGGGTTAATGGTTCACCCCAAAATAAAACAAGCCTCAATAGTTAATCTCAAAATGAAAATTCTTGTTTAGATCAACATATACAGGTATGTCAATAAATATATGTTGCGCTAAACAACCTAAAGTTAACATATGCAATTTTTTTTATTTGCCACTGACAGTGAGAGAGAGAAATGTGTGCAGGTGGGTACAAAGCTCATTATTCTAGTCACTCATTCTCAGCACCGTTCCCCCTTTATACCAAAAGGTGGAGAGAAAGACTATGAGAGTGCCCTACACAATCTCTCCCTCCATCTCTCTTCTGCCAATATTTCACAGCACCAGGTAATGCTTTCTGAGACCATTAGGGGAGTGCTATACAGACACTTCATAGTCTATCTGTTAAAAATACATTTACTCTTGAGCTTCTCTTCTTCTCTAATGCAGATCTAGAATGACTAGGATATATTGAGAGTTAGAGAAATATGCAAAATATTCTAGAGGTAAGAACTTTGGGTGGAATGAGTAAAAATGCAGATGTTTCTAGAACACCAGAACAGTGTGTGTCTGACTGTCCACCATACAGCTACGGTTTAAAAGAATTCAGCTCAGCAAGCAGAGCAAAAGGGGCAAGCTAGCAGCATCTAGTGAGAGAACCGGACAAAAGCAGATGCCACAAAATGCTTCTCTCATCACGCGCACGCGCGCGCACACACACACACACACACACACGCTCCACTTTCCTCTGCTTACTCTCGCTCCCTCGTTTTTTCACTTGTGTTTTTTTCCTTCTGTCTAATGTGCAGAGCTACAGAGGAGAGTGAAAACTTTTCCATCTTTGCCTTCTTTCTTTTTTCCTCTTCAGAACAGGAAACCAAGCATAAGCTGTATAGCAAGAACCAATCCTCTACTAAACTTTATGGAGGCTTTATCAAAATTCCAGCATACTTGGATTGATTTACATATGTGAAACACTACAATGTGGCACAGCAATTTATCTAATTAATTTGAACACAATGGTGTGGTATTAGCCCTGTTCTACCTTCTGATGAAAATGTTTCTGTATTTATTCAAACATGGATATACACATACACATTAATCTCAATTGCATTGCATATATATCCAAATGGAAACACTTACACGAACGAAAAACTTGCTTTCAGACCTTTCTCCTGAGATCAAAATTTGAACTCAAATTTGATGAATTGATTTTATGATGGCAAACATTTATCACATAATTCAGTATTATTGCTGAACTGTCTGAAGTATGTTTATGTATGGTATAAATAATATAGCATATGCTATAATATATACAAATTTATATACAGTGGTGTGGAAAAGTGTTGGCCCCCTTCCTGATTTCGATTTTTTTTCTCTCTTGGAGATTAGTGTGGATGGTTGTCTTTACTGTTGCCATAATAATTTTTTTTTAAAAGTCTAATCTCAAAACTTTACATGCACAATTCAGTTGCAAACAGTCCATAGAATCATTCAAAGCATTGTAGATTAAAAACAAATCCCAAATTTTGGATTCAAAGATAAATCTAACCTGGCCACAAAGCATGTAACTTCCCATGAATGGGGGGCAACTTTCTTAGCGTCAGTGACATGCAAATGCATTCAAATATATATTCATGTGAAATATATTATTTATATTGATACAATACTTTTACATAAGTATATTTTGTATATGTCAAAATTTGCCAATAAAAATTAAAAAGATAAAATTATCTGGGAGAATGTGAAGTTACTTGAATTACAATTTAAAATACTTAAATGATACACAACTTGATTAGGTCTCAAATGAAGCTACAAAAGAGCAATAACCTTTTTATCCTTTGTCAGCTCTTACGAAGTTCACATACAGTAGATATGAACTTCCAAATATCTTCAAGCAACAAAAAAGGACTTGAAATAATGATCCTTCTTCACAAAACAACATTTATCACTAGTAGAAATGGAACTACCATAAGTCATATTTGGATCATCTTCTGGCCAAGACTGCATGGCTGAATTACCTTTTAATTAGCAAATGTTGTAATTTACCTTTGCTGATGAACACATAAATCTCAAGTAATCTCACTTAAAGGGATGAATTGAGAAATCAACTTTTACTTGAGCTTTTGATATCTAAGAAATCATCGTACTAAAAGAATACCCTGTAAGTTTCAGAACTGAAAACGTCCTTGTTAATGAAATAAAAAAACTTTTATTGACA